AACTCTAGAGACAACTTAGAACTTCCCATGTTTATAAAACTAAGTATCACTGATCCTTGGTGGTGCTTTAAACCTAAAGACCTCAAAGCGTTTCTAAGAGATGTTAACGAAGGTGCAAACACTTACCACACCGCAGAGATGCTAAGAAGTAATTACCTGCAGACAGCGCTTAAATGACTGCTTAAGAGTCAGTGACACAATGAAGAGAAAGAACCCTGTTGTCTATAAGTACCATTGAGAGGTAATTGCCAGGGAAGAAGATCAGCCTACTAGCTGAAATGCAACAGTGGGATAAGAATAAAAGGGAATAAAAGCTGAGTTGAATCAAAACCAAATCTCACTAATTATTGAGGACACAGGGTCCTAGAATGCCTTTCTGTCGAAGACACTAAACACAGTAACTTTTGCTGCTTTTTTGTGGTGCTGAGACCAATTCCTGAAAGGAATTCTAGGAGGTACTTGACTAAGGTAAAGTGGAAGGTACCATCCAACACCTGTCTGATGAGCCAGTTTTTCATCCATTTCAGTACAATATGCAAAGCAGATACACACTTTTCTCCAGAGTCAGACCTCAATACACTTAAATAAAATGCGAAATAACAAGGTTTTGTAAACTCCTGTACAGTTCCCTTACTTCTCAATGCTTCCTCATTGCCACCTTCTGTGGTCAGGTGCAAATCAATTATTTGACTTAAGAAAGAGGATATTACACCAACATCAATTTTTCACAAGGAGAGCAAACAGTTTTTGCATTTCCCTGTCATATGCATTCATACTGGCAGTTTGCAGTTATAAGCATAGCTTTTCCACTTTTTAAGATGCTGAGAAGCTTTCACAGCTCTCAACTCAACACCCTTCCGAGGTCTTAAGTTTGAGAGTACGCCTTTTCCATCCTGCTCTTGAGTTGATCATACAGTTCTCAGGTCTGCTGTTTGCTGACTGCATCTCACAGTTTGCAATTCCTAAGTCACTATAGGACTAGTCACCTGGGGGAAATGTCAGCAATGGGCTCAATTGAACATGCAGCAACATAAGAGCAAAGGAACGAGAATGGAAGTAGTTCAACAGTTCCAAAGGATCAACATCCAGACAAAATTTTGAGTGCTTCAGATCTCAGCAGCCTCTGAAGATAACTATCCCCACAAAAATGCTGGTTACCTGCTAATCACACGTAAACACAGCTGCAAAGCAGCTACTCAGACTGGGAACTTGTTATGCATGAAAAGTGTGCCAGTGAAAAACAACAGCCTTTGTTGTTTACAACAAGAAATAACTGCTTCACAGTCATTCATGACTGCAGCTAACATATGGCTCACAGAGTGTGATGGTAACCATTGCCTCAGGTGGTTCACTAACCCATCAGCTACTGCTGGTAACAGTCGATATCATAGGGCTTATTACTTAATTAGCACAGCACTTTATTTGTATTAGTTCATTTTAAAAGAGAAAAAAGACCAGCACAACAGCAAAGCAATTGGAAAGCTGCAGGAGGCATGGCCAGCCCTCACCATACATACAGCAGTCTCTGAGTGTGGAATATTCTGGCCTAGCTGTCTTCCTCACATTGCTCAATAAAGATAGGCAGATTTCAGCCAGACACTTCTTAAAAAAATACACTTTTCATGACCTGTCCTCCTAGTAGACTGTGCTATAACACAACACGTATTACAGAAATACAGGTAGCAACTGTCTGCTACAGGCTCTGTCTGCGCTTGTGCACCACTGACTGCCCACTGAAGAGGGCAGTCAGGAAATTTGGTGCCCCTGTACACTGACCAGCTGGGAAAGGTAAGCACAAAGTTCCGTTTCCATGAAATTCAGTTCCATAGTGAGTGCTTTTGGCACCATAAACCATTGCCAAGTTCAGAACAAGCTAAAATAAAAAGCACTGGAGCACTGGATGTAGTCTCACCCCACTTTTCCTTCAGAGTGCTGATCCCATGATCCCTATCATTCCCCAGCCACCAGAACCTGCACGTCCTCATCTGGACCATGAATGCTCTTTATGTCACCACAGCCAGCCGCAAGTGCTTGCCCGTAGACACATTACTGTATGGGCACTTGGACTTAAAATACCTACCATGAAAGCCTCATCTGCCCCAAAGTCAGAAGCTTATGTTCAGACAGGTAGTAAAACATTGTCTAGATGTTTACATGTCATTTCTCACAAAATGCATCACAGGACCAAAACTAACTAATACTTCTCCCTCAGAAAAAAACAAGGTCATCAAGCATCAGTCATGTTCCCACTAAGATGTTTTCACTGAATTCAACAGATACAGCATAGAGCCTTCAATAAGCACAGAATACATACAGGAAAAAAAGAATTAATCCCCCTTCATTACACAGCCACTATAATGTGCTATATGATTCATAATGAGGTGTAGGAGGGAAGCTGTCTTGCCCTCTTACCTGCAGAGAACAGAAGGTCTGGGTAAACGGCTCCATTCGGACCAGGTAAGATGCCACTATAATTGCTGATGAATAGTGAGTGCAGTAATGGCACTGGGCTGACAGGTCTCCTGGAAATTGGACACAAATCAGATTTCAGTGCAAAATATCATTGTTACAAGCTTATAGCATCCAGTTATAACAGCACAACTAAATAGGGAGCACATCTTTAAAGCAGATGTGTTCAAGGATCTGTGAGCAAAAGCACACCTTGCATATTTGCATTGAATGTGCACAGTTACTAACATCTCTGTATGTTGGCTTTTTTTTTCCTTCTACATTTCATTTTCTAAAGTATAAGGCCTTTAACTTTCCAGACCAGTCCCTTCCCCATTGGAAATCAAGAGCTGTTTTGGTACTAGAGATCAACAGCCTCAACATCATGTTTCCTTTTCTTAAAGTAGTTGTTAGATAAACTGTATGCAGCAGTCTTTTACATGCAGCTTAGCTGACAGAGCAGTCTTTTCTAAAGAACATTGCTTTTTGCTGTAGCACCTCTTCCTGCCCAAGAGAAGAGGACAGAACTTAGCAGTAAAAGACAAGTAAGGCAGTGCTTGCAGGAGTAATTTCTCTGAATCTTCAACCAGTTTGTATTCAGAAGCAAGAGAATCCCCTTAGCATGGTGCTTGCCTCAGCCACAGCTCTGGAAAGTTTTTGGGTGACATTTTCCAAGGATTCACCAGCATCCCCAAAGGCCTGAGAGGATTCAAACCTCTGCTGTTAGTCTCCTAAAACACTCACCCTCACTCTTCTCCACCTCATTGTAGCGCTGGATGAACTTGCGTTTCCTCTCCACAGTCTGTGCTCCCATGGGCTTTGACAGGTCCCGAAATGTATGAGGATTAGTAAGATTTAGAGTCTGAAAAGCAAAATCGGAAAAGATGTGGATTTTTAGATCCTTGAGTCTTAGACATCATGACTAGCTCAGTGACACTGGATAACGGCAAGGCTGTGTTGGAGGTTTCACCCATACAAGAAGGCCACAGACTCAGTACTAAAACACCCATCTCCTGAACTGAACTGAGACTTG